CCTCCTATAGGTTGTGTGGCTTCTATAAGCATAGTGGTTATGAGTCAGGCTGCTAATCTCATGGTCAGCACTTGAAACTACCAGCGGTTCCTCTGGAGAAAGATGAGGCTTTCTGCTCCAGTAAAGATTTATTTATAGCGTCAGAAATGCTATACAGTGTCGTTATGAGTCAGAACTAACTCTACGGCACATAATCACCACCACCACCACCCTAATCCCATAGGATACCATTTGGTTTATAATGGTATTATATTTGGGGTGCACAGTTTTGTTTTGCTTTGTTTTTTCTTTAAAGAAATGTGCCTAAACTTATAAATACATTTTTTTCCTCATTGAATTTGCCAGTGTTGGAACGTTGGCCTCTTTGGAAATAAGCTTTAAGGATCTGTAGCATGTATTTGTGTGTGTGTGTGTGTTTTATGGTTACATATTAGTTTTAGTTGTTTGTTTGTTTTTTACGTTTTTATTGTGAATTGAGTGATAATTTACATGGAGAACATCGGTTTAACATTCATCGTTTCATTGCAGTGATTACAATCTCCTCTATGCATCATCATTCAACAGCATTTGCTTTTATTCCCTCTGGTTTTTTGCGGGGGTGATGTACACAAAACCACTCAGGAATATATCATAATTTAAACAACCAAAAGGTACATTCTGCAAGCCTGCCTTCTGTCCACCAGCACTCAGTCTTTCTCTTTGCATGAGTCTAGAGTCCTCAGCTGCTCTATTTTTCCATGCCCTCATCTCTGGTGTTGCTACTTCTCTGGATAGGATCCCACCTTCCACTCATGCTCTTCTCACTTGATGGTTCCAGAGTCCTCTGCTGCAAGATCAACCACTCCCCACTTTTTGTTACAAAACTTCTACCTTTATAGTTGTTACAGTTGCAATTAGTCATGATAACAATTACTCACTATTGAATCATAAAAATCTTATCCCCATCTCTTTTCACTGGACCCTTCTGGACAAGATGAAAACTATTCAGTGGAGATTCTACCATCCCCTCCCCACACTCTTAAACTAAACTCCTTCTTGAAAACATGTAAGCCAGCCACTTTGTGTCTTAATGGTGTGGCATGTCTTTTGAATATTATTGTTACTAAGTAATTATCGGTGCCTTGAACATGGTGGCATTGTGAGGTAAGCATTGAAATACTAACTGAAAGGTCAGCAGTTCAAACCCACCAGCCACCCCATGGGAGAACGTTGAGGCTGTGTGCTCCCACAGACATTGAAAGTCTCAGAACCCCAAGGAGTAGCTCTACTCTGTCCTCTAATGTCGCTGAGTAGGAATTGAGTCCACACAGTAGGTTTGGATTTGGTTTCAGCTTCTGAAAACCACAAGTCATTTGGTGCCAAGACCAGGGGACAAGGCTAACTTGAATATCATGTTCTGAAAGCAGTTTCCAAAGAGGAATTTTCCAAACCAATTTTTTGCTTATTGGTTATTTGATGTGTGCGGATTGTTTGGGTATGCAAGTTCTACTGCCCATTTCTTTATCCTTACCTATCTCTGCTACCCTGCCCCCTCCTGAAGGTAAAGTACAATGGTCCTTTCTCTGCTGCCTTTCTGAATTCCGCATTTGAAGTGAGCAAGGGAAGTGCTCTGTAGTGTGCCTGCATCCTGCTTTGCCTATCTCCCGTTTCCCCAGGCAGACTGGACTCCAGCCAGCTTGGGTTCCTGCATATAAACTCAGGAAAGCTCATCCAAAGGAGCAGTCCTTTCCTTAAGTCAGACTGTGAAGTCTTCTCTCTCTCTCTCCCTCTCTCGCTTGCTTGCTCTTTTTGTTTGTTTTTACTATTATTGACTGTCCAAAGGTCCCAATTCCAGTTGAATTGACTCTGACTCATGTGCTTCCAACTCTGCTCCACAGAGTTTTAAAGGCTGTGACCTTTCAGAAGCAGGTTGCCACCTCTTTCTTCCTTGGTGCCACCAGGTGGGTTCAAACCATCAACTTTTACTGTTAGTAGCCCAGCATTTAGTCTTTGCACCATCTGTGCAAAGATTACCATGGGCTTTTTTTGTGTGTGTGTGTGAATTGAGCAAAGGTTTACAGAGCAGATCATCAGTTTTACATACAAATCACATACTTTGCTTGATTACATGGCTGCAATCCCCTTTGTACACCAACAGTTAACAACATTGACCTCTATTCACTTTAACTGTGGCATTCCTCCTCCTTGTGTCTCCTGCTACCCCACCTTTCCCTGCCAACTTCCCTCCAGTTAGTTGTACATTGCCTACTCCATCACCCATGTCAACGTGTGTCTACCCTCTAGCATATGGATCATTTCCTCCTCCCCCTCAAACCATCATAGACTGTTTCTTTTATCAAGAAAACCCCCTCTTTGTGTGTGTGTGTGTGTATTTGGATTTTTAAAAATATGTTGTTGTTGTTAAGTGCCGTTGAGTCGGTTCCGACCCATAGCGACCCTGTACAGGGTTTCCGAGGGTGTAAATCTTTACGGGAGTAG